TACTCTCTCGTAAAACACGTAAAAGAGATACTCTCTCTTGATAAACTAAACAAGAACAAATTTTTATTTCAATCGATAAACTGATTGTACATTCTATTAGACTGCTAATAAATAGAGTTCAAGATCTTCTACAATCCCTAACTTATCAAACAAGTAAATAAATATCTTCTAACCACCTTAAAGATAAATAAGAGATAATAATAATAATAATAATAATAATAATAATAATAATAATAATAATTAAACTATTAAACTATCCTCATCATTCTCCCCCGGTTGAGCAGGATTCGGCCTCGAATCCGACTCATTCCTGGTGGAGTCGTTCCCATGACAAGAATACCCCCGACACTTCCCTCGATCGAACACGAATGTTGAACGTCTTTCAACAACCTTGAACGTAAGAATAACCTCGGTCAAGGACTGAACTGCTGCGAAGGCACATGTACACGTCACCATTCGCAAAGCCGACACAATCGAAGTAACACAAAATATAGCACATCGTTTGTCACGCGCAAAACCATAACGGCCAAACATCCCGTTGTTGGGAGACTTTGCGATAGGCAATTGGAGAATGGCCCACCAGTTATTGAGCATCGTATTCGGCTCCAAAAAAGCATCTTTAGCCATAACACTTAATAAATCGGGTGTGAATGACGGCTTCTCATTCGAAGACTTAATCGTTGTGATGTCCCATGCGGCATCCATATTACTGCAAAAATATGTCTTCGTCGCCGGAGCCTCCACATCAAAAATGGGCGGACCGTCGTACATTGGCCCGTCCATGTGATCCTCGTCGAAGGAAAAATTGTCAGCTTGAAACGGGCCCACCCCTTGGCCAAAACCGCTGCCAAAATCACTCTGTACAAGCCCAATTTCCGCAGCTACATCACAAGCCCACAGATATGGAAAAATTTCATCCTTCACTTGGTCCAAATAAATGGAATTGGGCTGTCCTTCTTTAGGCCCAAAAGTGTGAAAAACAAAATCCAAGGAACTGTTGTCTCTCTTCTCTTTTCTCTGCACCTCGCCCAAATAGCGAGTCCCTCCACCTCGCCCTTCCCGTCGCTGCGCCTCCGCTAATCCGGAACCAGTCCCTCGCCGATCGCGTCCAGGACCATCGAACCATCCCTCAGCAGCACAACGACCGTCAAATGCCCAATTTTTTGTACGACCACCGTCTGGCCTCCTCTGTGTGCGTGGTCGAAAATCGCCTATGTTGTGTTCATCTGGCCACTCAACTTGATCACGGTAGTCGCCGGCGTCCTCCACGATGCGCCGTTCATCCCGACCCCAACCCGCTGCAGTACACCGAAATTTGCTCACGGGTAAGTGCAACCCGATAAAATCAGACGCCTCCATTTTCTGTCGGTATGCGCCGCCGTCGCCGGCATCCCTGAACTCGTCGTCCCAGCGGCGTCTTGGCAGTCTGAACCTACTGAAGGCTGAGTCCTCTCGATCGGACCCTCGTTTGCGAAATTCATGGTTGAAGCCTGAAGCATTGAGCTGGAAATAGCCACCTAGGGTTCCGCGAGCGGCCCGAAATTGGTAATTAACACCCACTGCAGGCCGCTGTTGACTGCGCAATCGTACAGCCCCTAAGGTTTTCTCGTCGTTGCGCTTGCCACCATATCCGAAACAACCTCCAGCCCGTTGTTGCTCGCGAACTCGAGACTGGCCGAGGGTGTCGGCTCCTTGCCATGGTGGTCGATCTGTAAACGGGTAAGCCGACCCGGTAGAGTCGCGAACGCCGCTGCCGTTCAGAGGTGGCTGGGATCGCTGCCGGGGCGCCCCGACATGGTTGCTTCCCCCACGACCGCCTCTGTATCCCCCGCGATAGTCACGGCCTCCATCACGGTCCGTCTGCCATTCCGTTACAACCACGTTGTTCGGCGTCAAACACACATCCTCGATCCCCATCGAAAGATCTGCAAACAAATTCGTGAAACGAACGTCCAACTCTTGAAATCGGTAGTCAATCTGTTGAAACCGATCGTGGAAGGTGGC